CCTTTCTCCTAAAATGCTGGGGTTTTTTAAACTTAACCATTAGCAAGAGAAAGCTTTAAACCAGGAGAAAGATTTTAGCTATTCTTTGAAATCCAGATAGATTATATAGCATTTCTTTTGACAGGAAAGATATTTCAACTGCAAAAAGATAAAATATATGTCATGAATATTCATATCTAAAAGTAGAACATGAAATAATTACCTAACAAAGTTATATTCTAGAGCACTGTTTTTTCAAACTATAGGTCACAATCACTAGTACATTATGAAGACAATTTAATGAATCACTATCAACATTTTTTAAGAACACAGGATGGAAAAGAGTAGAATGCACTATATTTAAGGAAGACAAGTATCACCCCAAAGAACTTCGATTAACTTAATAATACTATGTGTATGTGCACAAGAGTGCTGGGAACAATATCAACTTATTTGTGTATTGATTTATTTTTTGGTACTGGGAATCAAACTCATAACCTCACGTTTGCCCGGCAGGTGCTATGCCACTGAGCTATATCACTGACTTCAAGTTATTTCTTACACAAGGTATAGTCCAAAAAGTCTCAAAGTCACCAATAAGAAAACCAACAAATAATCATCTGCTTTCTAGATGGTAGCTAAGAACTAACAATGTTAAAAGGTAGTTAATGCTGACAGTGACCAGGAGATAAGGAAGTTAAGCCACACCAGGAACCAAGCTGACGGATAAAGGATAGTATTGTTTTCAAAAAGCCATCAGGCATCCTGGTACCCACTAACGATCCTTCCTCTATCCCCATCTCCTGTGCATGTGTCCTATTGCACAGCAAGGTGACAAAAGCTCATAAAAACCCATTTTATATATATATATATATATATATATATATATATATAAAGAACTGGAAGAGAGGAATTTGAGGCTACAAACATAAAAAATGATAAGGAAATAGAAATGCTAATTGTCCTGATTTATCAGAACACACTGTATAGTATATATAATAAAACACATATTATGTGTTAAAAATTTTTAATGATATTAATCACACGGAAAAAAAATGCAGGAGAAGACAGAAAAACAGTAAGTCAATGCGAGTGTGATTCAACTCATGGTTGCTGGCTTTGAAGATGGAAGAGGCCACGAGGTGAAGCATGTGATCTGTTTCTGGAAACAAGAAAGAGAGGAAACAGATTCTCCCCCCAGAGCCTAAAGAGAGGAACACAGCCCTGCCGATACCTTGGATCCTGACTCAAGAGAGATCTACGTTAGGCTTCTATCCTACAGAACTATAAAAGCAATGATTTATGTTGTTTGAAGCAAAAATGAAATCAAAAAACACACCCCTCCAAAAAAACTCATTAGGCAGTCATCCTTGAGGAGACAAAAAGGTAAAAAATGCAAGGCATTTCTCCTTATAAGAAAGAAGGTAATTTATAAGGAGGCAATTGATAGGAAAAACACTGAACTAACTTAAAAGAATCCTCATTAAACCTCTCGCTTAATTCCTCAATCTCCTCACCTGATAAAACTATTAAGCTCCTCTCCAACCATAAACTCTCAGATTCTAATGCAGTTTACAATAATTAACTCACGGCATGAGTACTCAGTTTATAATTAAAAGCTTCTGTGTGTAGTAACTAAAAGTTTATCTTTTAAGAAAATTACAAATGAACAACTGTGATGCTTACTCTTGTTTACCGGCTCGGCTGGTTGAGAGACTTGCTGTAGATTAATAAAGCACGCTTCTGGATGTGCCTGAGTGGGACACGGGGCAAAACCTTGGGGACTACACCTGTCCCTGGCTCCTTCCTTTCTCGCTCTTCCCCTGCTCTCTGCTTCCGGGATGACATGAGTTAACAGCTTTCCTCCATCATGCCATAATGTTTCCACCTTGGAGGAAGCTCACGGTGGAGTGCCCACTTTGGAAACTGTTAGCTGAAATAAACAGTTCCTCCTTTAAATTGTGTATCTCAGGTATTTTGCCCCAGCAACAGAAAAGTATTACCTTAGAAAATAGCAGATTTTTCTATAAAAATTCAGGCTTACTGGCTTAATTTTCTGCATACCTCAGTTTTCCATACCCAAAAGGTCTACCTGGCCAAGTAAAAATTACCTTCAGGCAAGCATGCTACTATGTACCTGATGGCAACTACAGAAAGCACAGGGAAGGTACATAGAAGGAGTTTTATAACCACCATATGGCTTTCATGGTACCATGCCCCACTTAAAAGTTAAACTTTAAGGGGCTGGGGATTTAGCTCAGCAGCAAAAGCACCTGCCTGGCAAGCGCAAGGTCGTGAGTTTGGTTCCCGGTACCGGAGAAAAACCAAAAAAAAAAAAACAAAAAAGTTAAACTTTAAAAAATTACATAGCCATTGAGATATCCATACTGTATTAAAAACAAGTGTTATCAGTAGTAAGTGTTTTATAGAATAAAAGATTTGATGTTCCTAAAATTTCTTTTTGTCTCTCTTTATAGTAGGTTCAACCATTTTGGTATTCTCACTTAATTTTGACATATCAATTACTTCCACATGATTTTCCTATTATTTCTTGCTCTTGGCTACTCACTCACGTGTGCCTCTGCCTGCTAGCAACACCCTGTATACTCTTAGCATTGGTAAAACCTTCCAAGGTCTGTACCCATTTCCTTACGCTTAGAGTTTTATCTGCAAGAATAACAAGCATACTAGATGTGGTGGTACAAGTCTGTAATCCCAGCATTCTGGGAAGCCGAGGCAGGATGATGGAAAGTTTGAGCCCTACTTGGGCAATTTAAAAACTGGGCTGGAGATGTAGCTCAGTACCTAGGCTGTGGGCTCAATCCCTAGTACCAAAAAAAAAAAAAAAAAGTAAAAGAGGGATAAAAAAGAAAAAGCAAATAGTAGCTGTAAACTCTCATAAACAGATACACACAAAATTAGAGTTGCTCTGACTGGAAATGAGATACATCTTAAGTTTTTCACAAAAAGAGGTGCACTTTATATAATATTATATTTGAGGACATTTCTGCAACTAAAATTTGTCTCACTTTAAGCCAAAGACTTCTGTTTCTGTTGGGGCATAATTTTCATGATAAGGAAAACGTACAAAACGTGGCTAAATAGAGATATTGACAAAGGAATAAAATCAGACCAATAGTCCCAGACATTTGATTCCCAAAATGTATGTAGACCCTGGACACCATTATAAAAGTCCTAAGTAAAAATACTGAAAAGAATTAAGTATGTACACACACACACACACACACACACACACAATGATGTTTTATCACGTCACATCAAAAGTACAAATCAAGAGGAAGAATCAGCATATCCATTATCTGTTCTCTAAATTCATATTGCTCAGCATATTTCTCTTGTTCCACAGACTAATATCTGCTTTGGAAAACACAGTCTCCAACACGAAACCACCCTGATTGAAGTGGACGCACACAGCCCAGGCCAAATGACCAAAGTACAGAAACGGAATAAATTCACAATCTGAACTCACTTTTTACTGAACTTGCTTTTCTTGTGCCAGTTTCTCATCTACTTTGAAATATGCAGCAAGTAAACTATCAAACAATTTTACCAAATGCCATTCAAACAGCTGATGTAGTATCATAAACACTGAAAACAGAATGATTTTTATTTATAAAACCCACTTTGGGCATTCATGCTAATTAGATTATATCACTACTTTTCACCATTTAAGGGCTAAATAAAACACGGGACTAGGAAATACATATCAAAAATATGTACCAGTAAGGAAGAAAATACCAATCTCTGTAAGTGTTTTTGAAATATTCACTAAAGAAAAGTGAGAAAGTGAAGATTTATTTGTGCTAGCAGATACTAAAGTCATTATCTAAAAATCAGATCACAAAAAATAAGTCCTGCTGGGCATGATAGTGCACTCCTGTAGTCCCACCACTTGGGAAGCTGAGGCAGGAGGATTACTGCAAATTGAAGGCCAGTCTGGGATACATACTGAGTTCAAGGTCAGTCTGAACTACATAGAGAGACCTGTATTCAAAAAAAAAAAAAAAGCAAGCCCCAGAAGAACGATGAGACTGGGAAAAAATAAACAGGATACTGATGAAAGGAAAACTCAAATATGACTGTGTCGATGAACATCTTCATTATTACCACGCTATCAAAGAACATCATTTCTTACAACATGTCTTGGTTACTTTTCCCTTGTTGCTGAGACAGAATAACTGACACCAAAAGTTAAAGGGGAAAAGGTTTATTTAGCTCAGTTTATAGACTCTTTCTGTCCCTTTATTATATCCAAGCTACTGGGAGTAGGGTGGTACCAAACCAATCAGTGAACTAATTTAAACCATCCTTAATCCTAGCACCCTTAATCCTAGCACTGCACCAGGAATCAATCATGCACTCTAGGTTCACCACCTCTGAAAAAGCTCCACCTATGACTCCATGAGGCTCTGGGGGGACATCTAGACACAAACCAGGACAAGTGAGTGAATGGGAAACTGCACAATGCTGACAGCCACAAAACTCACCTTTGGGAAACCTAACCATGAGTGAGGAAAAACATGTCAGCCTACACAAATGGCATTTCTAGGCATAGGTTTTAATTATATAAAATATTTAATATATCTAAAATTTTGCAACAAGTTTTGGACTTTTCTTAATGTGTTGAAATATATGAAAAGTTTTTGTATAAAACTGCAAGGTTGAAAAAGAACCTATTTATTACAGATACCAATTGAAAGTGTAATAAGGTCATTCGAAACAACAGCATTTTTGATTAATAAAATTAGTGCTTAACGTAAAACACAATACTATCAAGTTAAGAAAAAGCAACAAGCACAAAGGGATTCTCATTCTAAAACTTAAAAAGCTTAATTAAATAGCCAGAATTAAAACAAGAGAAAAGTCATTTTAGTATTAAAGAAAACAATATGGAAAAGACACACAAAATATACAAAACCAGGCAAACAATAGCTTCCTACAACAGTCATGCTGAAAATTAACCTCTAAAAAAATGTATCCCTCTCCCTCTATCTACTCACCCAACATTTTCTGCATCTTCATCACACTCGGCTTTATATTTGCAAGGTCCACACTTGGAGTGCTTTCTGTGAGCTTCTGCCCCTGAACCTTCCTCTTCTGTTTAAAAAGAAAAATTAAACTTTCAGCCGAAAGTGGGCATCTCCTTTGCAAACATGCTTCATGTTTTCAGCAGTCATTTGTATCACCCTTCTAGAGAAAATGTGTACAAATTCTTGAAAACAGTTACTTCCAAAATGTCTCAATGCTGAGTCCAAAAATATTGCTAATCTTGAAAACAACATAATCTGTGGTACAAGTACTGCTGCTAACAAAATAATTCTTTAAAATATGCATGTGCAAACAATATAGTGGGTTTGATAATAAACTGCTCTTACGCGAATTACTGTGTAACACTGAATAAGAGGAAGAAATGAGCAAAACTTAGAGCTTGATCCCAATATCACACATACAAAAAAGCAATACATTCAGTGATAACCCTCCTACTGAAATAAACTGTACAATGTGGTTAACAAATAAGTGCTTGAACAAAGTACAATGTCACTTTCATCTTATCCTCACACTGTTTTCACACTTTTGGCTTTCTAACTACATAAAAACTCGTAGTTCCACAGTATGGGGGAAAAAAAACTGCAAATTTTAACAAGAAAAGCTCTCTTTATAGACTTTCCCTTTTTCAGCCAACAATACCCATAGCAGACGTGCCTGGGTCTCTTACGACCTGACAACAAAAGCCAGAAAATACCACTATTCCCCAACTCAGCTCAATCCTGCCCTAAGGGGGACCCTACATGTGAGGGTCTCAACTAGACTGCATCCTTTCTTGATCATCTCACACTGGTCAGGGAGTCAGATCAAATGCCAATTTAAGTGTACTCAAGAGATTTCCCAGTTCAGTTTCACAGATCCCAATTATGGAACAAGAGATGGCGAGAGGAGGACACGAGAAGGAAAGGGGATGGAAAAAAGAACTGAAGCAGGGGGATGATGAACATAGAGCTTTTGCAAATGGGAAAGGAACCAAAGAAAGGAGGGTAGGGGATGAAAAGAAGAAAGAAAAAAGAATTAAGAGGTATTATATACATGTACCGACTCCCCACAATAATTGTAATCATTATGTACTGCAATAATATATTAATTTTAAAAAGAAGAGAAAATACAGAGAACTATAATATCATTTTGGTAATGCTTTCAATCTTCTGATTCTTGGTGCTGACCTGCACTTAAAGTGCAAATCCTCCCCACTAAACTCCCATGAGAAATCCCCAAATTCAGAAATCATAATCCTAAGTAATTGGGAGGCCTCAGAAATACCATGGGATCTAGAATTACTAGCAGACCACACACTCACTAAGGCTTATTTATTAATCTAATCATAGCACCTAGTCTTTCTAACTCTAACTTCCTAAAACAATGGCCAAACTACATTCAAGGGAAAACATCCACTATTGTGTTACATTGGCAACTTTTGATCAATTCTCACCTCTTTATTACAGGAACAATGACAGTTTCTCCCTGAATATCTGGCCACAGGAGCTAGACCACATGAACTCTTAAAACCCTTTCCATCTCTAAGATTCATGATCCTGATCCCTCAAACGTTACTAGGCTTGTATGTGTCCATTTAAACCAAATTCTATTGTTCAAGAACTTTAATCACTTTATTTTAAGCTGAAACCGCATTCCATGAACTTCTTCCTCATGATTGTTCTATTTTCTAGAAAACCTTGAGAAAACCTTCCAACCTGAAATTTTAGGAATTATGAAATATAGAGTGAGGAATAACACACAATAAAGGTTTTCTATGAATTCAAAGGATCATAACTATAGTTTACATATGGAATGAAATCTCCTAGCAATAATGTTCTTTTAGTGTATCCTCATATTACCTCAAACATTACTTTGCACATAGGAGATAGTAAGAATTACAGCCTCCTTAGACTATGAAATAGACTAGTTATTCTCAGGTCTGGTCATTTAAACTTTATTGCATGCTATTATAAATATTAATTTTTTAAATACCAAGAATAATTAATTCACATATTTGTAAAGTTTTAAAAAGGGACACTTTTGAAAGTTTAAAATAAGCTTTAAATTCCACCAGAGTTGCTCCAAAAGTTTTCCCTTTTCTATGTACAACCCGCTTGAGTTATTTTTAACCCTGTGACTTAAAAATCCAACAGAAGCCACAGAATTTTCCCCCTAATCTGACAAGAAACCTTCAGTGAAAAGAATGCATGAAATAGTGTGTGTATTCTCTTCTTAACAGAAGTAAAGGGGGGACTGAGGGCTTACGGACGACAGCCAAGGGGCAAGTAGTTTCTAGGGAAATGAAATATTCTAAAATCTACTGCAGTGATGAATGTAGAACTTTGTGAATATACTAAAAGTTATGATTTGTATGTTTTAAATGGGTGAATCATGTGGTATATGTATTACATCTCAAAGCTTTAAAACAGAAAAGTGAAAGAAAGCAAATGCCCTTTAAGAAATATTTGGAACTTACCTCCTTCTCCAGATCCAGAGCCATTATCTGAAAAGAAAAACAATGAACATAAACATATTTTCCTGGAAATTTCATCTTTCAAACAGTAAAATTTCTCATCAATAATAAAACCATGAAACCCATTATCATATATTTTTCTCATATTTGTGACATCTAGCAGTTTATTCTTCTACATTTATTTTATGTCACAAAATATAAATGAATTTAAGTAATCATCTATCTCATATTTCTTTGTAGTTCATTCAAGAAGGATCTAGATATCCTGCACAGAGTAAAGACTAATAAATATTGTGAAAAGCTACATACAAATATTTTTAAATATTTCTCATTTAAAAGGTACAAGGAAAATTTAATTTTGTTAAACCTTGAAAGGAATAATGACTAAGCTGCTTTTATTAGGAAGGATGGAAAAGAGCCTTGAGTCTTGCTATAAAAATGTTAATGAAATTTGTGAGTAAAGACCAAAAGCCAGCAGGTTTTTGTTTGTTTGTTTGTTTGTTTTTGTTTTTTTCTGGTACCAGGAATCGAACTCACAACCTTGCACTTGCCAGGCAGGCGCTGTGCCACTGAGCTAAATCCCCAGCCCCAGCCAAGAGGTTTTTAAAAAAAGAACCAAGGCCTCCTCTAAAAGAACCTCAGGGTTGAAGTTTTCATACTACTGATGAAATTAATTTCTGATAGGAAATCTAACCACAAGGAATCTCAGTAAGAAGCCAGCCTAAAACTCAACTAATATAAAAAGTTTACTTCCTAAAGTTAAAAGAACCAACACCTTGCACAGAACATGTTAAATCATCAGCATTAAGTTGTTAAAAAAATAAATAAAAAAGCAAAGATGGCAAGTGAAGAATCTGACACATTGACCAACACTTTCTAGAACTGAAGATAACCTGATCCTAGAGAAACCACTCCAATCTCCCAAAGAGCTCTCTGGAGTAGAAGACAGGCAAAACCCACAGCAGTACTGCTCCCTTCCCTCCAGGTTCCTTCAGACAATAATCAAATTTCCAGATATGGTAGAAACAGGAGCAATGAGAAATATATATAGTAATGAGAAATAAATATGTTTATAAATATATAATAATGTATTATATATTATATAATATTTTAATATTATATCATAATGTATTATATAATATATTATAAATATATAATGTATATAATATATACTACATTATAATACATTGAATGTAATATATACAATAAATATATCTGTACATATGTAGATCCAATTGCAAAATTCTTCATGGGCTTTTTTTTTTTTTTTTTTTTTTTTTGGTTTTTCTCCGGTACTGGGAACCAAACTCATGACCTTGCGCTTGCCAGGCAGGCGCTTTGCCGCTGAGCTAAATCCCCAGCCCCTCTTCATGGGCTTTCATGAAAAGTCTTCAACTGTATTAAATTTTGATTTAAGATGACATTTCTATGTAAGTAGGAAAAGAAAAAAAACCCAAGAAAAGAAATGAAAGAATCTGATTTCAGTTTGTTTGTTGGTTGGTTTCACTAGTCTCACTGTAGTTCAGGGTGGCCTTGAACTCACTATGCAGCCCAGGCTGGCCTCACAGGGATCCTCCTACCTCAGTTCTCAAGTACTGGGATTACAGGCATGTGCCACCAACCCCAGCTATTTTTCAGTGTTTTGATGATCAAACTTTTCTTAGGCAAGCAAATACTCCCTTCTTCCTTCTATATCGGATCTACTGACAGGGGACATATTAAGTGCCAGGCACCACAATAAATGCCAGAAATAAAATGACAAAGCATACTTATTGCAAACCTTTTTTTTGATTTGTGTCCAATTTCGGTCAGCATAAAAATCCTACATCTTCCTTGGTCATTTACAAGTTGTAAATAAACAAAATGCTCCGACTACTCTGATAATGGGAGTTCTTCTTATAGACTATCCACAGTAGAAATACACATGCCTGTCTCAGTCCACAGACTCCATCCCAACCCTAAGAATATGTTATACTACCACACGCAAGAAATGTCTCTTCTGGTTGAAAAATCACTGATCTGGGAAGGAGCAAGTGTGACAGTTAAATAAACACAGTATTCTACATGCACAGAGATACAGGACAGGAAAAAACTGTCCTGAGATGTCACCAAGAAAATTTTCAGATGAAAACTTTAAGCCCAATTTAAAAGTGTAAGAAAGGAGTTTTCCAGTAAATGAAGCAGAATAATATTTCTAACTCATGAAATAGAAAACAGGAAAGACCAAATGATATAAAATCACTGGCCCACTCAGCAAATAATAAAATCAATACAGCACTGAACAGCTTAGTGCTTGAAATCTTTATTTAAGAGCTTCAGGAGAAAATATTCATCTAATGATTTGGGGAACTGGTGCTCTAGAGGTTAAGTGACTTGTCAAAGGGTACAGTAACATCAAAGCCAGGTCTTTTATCCCTGGTGCAGTGCCCTTGACAAGCTATCATTCTGCCTGCTAAAATTTAACATTCACAGCTTATCAAAGCACTTAGTATCTTAAACTCAGGCTCTTCATAAATGATGCACACTCAATTTGAGACCAGAAAGAGCTCTAGGCTGTGTGTAGTGGTGCACACCTGTAAGCACACCCAATCAGAGAACAGGGCAGGAGAATCACAAGTTCAAGGCCAGCCTGGGCAACTAAGGGAAAACTTGTCTCAAAATTAAAACTTTAAACCCTTAGCCAATCTCACCAAAATAAGGAAAAAAAAGACTCAAATCCATGCAATTCAAAATGAAAAGGGTAAAAATCACAATGGATTCTGCCAAAATCCAGATCATCACTGGTAACTATTTTGAGACCCTGAGACCCTCTATTCTCTCTCTCTCTTTTTTTTTTTTTTTTTTTTTTTTTTTTTTTTTGGTTTTGGTTTTGGTTTTTCTCTGGTACCCCGGGAATCAAACTCAAGACCTTGTCCTTGTCAGGCAGGTGCTGTGCCACTGAGCTAAATCCCCAGCCCCCCTCTATTCTCATAAAATGGAAAATTTAGAAGAAATGGACAGATTCCTAGATACATATGAACAACCAAAGCTGAACCAAGAAGATATAAAAATCCTGAATAATCCAGTATCAGTCAGTAAAACTGAAGATATAATTTTAAAAACTACCAACTAAGGAGAGAAGCCCTAGTCCACAGACTCACTGCTAAATTCTACAGGAATTTTAAACAAGATCTAGTGCCAGTACTCCTCAAGCTCTTTAATAAAATAAAAATAGAAGCAGTACTCCCAAAGTCATTCCTGGAGGGAAACATTACCCTGAGTCCAACATCAGAAAAGGACCAACCAAAAAAGAGAACTACAGGCCAACCTCTTTAATGAATATAGAAAAGTCATCAGTAAGATACTGGCAAACAGAACATAGCAAATCATCAAAAAAAATCATATACCATGACCAAGAAGGATTCATTCCAGGGATATAGGGATGGTTCAGCATACACAAATCAATAAATGTAATACACCACATAAACAGAATCAAGAAAAATCACATGATCATCTCAATAGATGCAGAAAAAGCAATTAATAAAATTCAACATCCATTGATAATTTAAAAAAAAAAAAACTGAAGAAAATGGGTACAGAAAGACCTTATCCCAATCTGATAAAAGCCATTCATAATAAACCTACTGCCAACATCATATTAAATGGCAAAATGCTAAAAGCTTTCCCTCTAAGATCAGGAACAAGACTAGAATATCCACTATCACCACTTCTGTTCAATATAGTTCTCAAATATTAGCCAAAACAATTGGACAAGAAAAAGAAATAAAAGTGAAATAGATAGGAAAAATAGAACTCAAATTATCATTACTTGCAGATGACATGATACTCTACACAGAAGACCCCAAAAACTCCCCCAAAAGACTTCTAGAGGTAAAACCAAATTCAGTAGCAGGATACAAAGTCAACACTCAAAAATCAAAAGATTCCTAGAATAACCAAATTCAGCAGCATAGCAAAATACAAAGTCAATACACAAAAATCAGTAGCACTCTTGTACACCAATAATAAATTCACCAAGAGAGAAACTAGGAAAACAGTAACTTTCACAACAGCATTAAGAAAAATGAAATGCTTAGGAACTAATCTATCCAATGAAGTAAAAGACCTCTACAATGAAAACTACAGTACTCAGAAAAAGGAGATCAATAAAGAAATCAGAAAATGGAAAGACATCCCCTGTTCCTGGTTAGGCAAAACCAATACACTATAGTCAAAATGGCTGTACTTCCAAAACTGTTATATAGGTTTAATGCAATCCCAATGAAACTATCAACAGCATTCCTCACCAAACTAGAGAAAGCAATCCTAAAATTCATACAGAACCACAAGAGACCTACAACAGCAAAAGCAATTCTGGGCAACAAGGGCATGGCAGGGGCATCACAATTCTAAACTTCAAGTTACACTACAGAGCCACAGTGATAAAAACAGCATAGTGTTGGCAAAGTAAAGACTTGCAGATCAATGGAACACCATAGTGGATGCAGAAACAGCTCCAGGCACACTCAGCTACCTTCTCTTTGACAAAGGGGCCAAATCTTTTAAAAGACAGCCTCTTTAACAAATGATGCCAGGAAAACTGGCTATCCACATGCCGAAGACTGAACTTAGACCCATCTCTCTCACCATGCACTAAACTAAAATTAAAATGGATCAAAGATCTAAATACTAAAACAGAAATACTTAATCTGCTGGAAGAAAAAACTATGCAAAACCCTTGAATTTATTATATGCATAGGCCCCAGGTGCACAAGAAATAATACCATCAATCAATAAATGGGATTGCATCAAATTAAACAGCTTTTGCACAGGAAAAGAAACTACCAACAGAATAGAAGAGACAACCTATAGAACGGGAAAACATTTTTGCAAGCTACTCCTCAAAGAACTAAGATCTAGAAAATATATACAGAACTCAAAAAAATTAGACTCCCCAAATTTTAAAAGACTCAATACAAACATGGGCATCTGAAACAAAGAGACACTTCTTAGATGAAGAAATATAAATGAACAATAAATACATGAAAAAGTGTTCAACACTGCTGGCCATTAGAGAAATGCAAATTAAAACAACAGAGATCCTATCTTAGTTCTGAAAGAATGGCTGTCACCCAATAACAAACACTGGAGAAGATCCAGGGGAAAAGGAATCCTTCTTCATTGTTGGTGAGAGTGTAAATTGGTACAACCACTATGGACATCAATATGGAGAGTCCTCAAAAAACTAGAGAAAGGGGCTGGGGATTTAGCTCAGCGGCAAAGCGCCTGCCTGGCAAGTGCAAGGTCGTGAGTTCGGTTCCCGGTACCAGAGAAAAACCAAAAAAAAAACAAAAAAAAAACAAAAAAAAAACTAGAGAAATGCCCTTTGACCCAGCTATTCCCTTTTAGGTATCTTCCTAAAAGAGTTAAAGACATATCGCAGTGATGAACGCATATCCATCTTTACAGTAGCACAATTCAAAGCTAAATCTTGGAAGAAACCTGTATGACCATCAACAGATAAATGGATAAAGAAAATGTGGAGTACTACTCTTCCATAAAGAAGGATGATAAAATTCTCAAGTTGTTGGTAGGAAAATGGATACACCTTGAGAGCATAATGTTAGGTGAAATAAATCAGACCCATGGGCTTCAATGTCACATGGTTTCTCTTATATGAGAAGCCCACTATAGTGATACTTCAGTTCACTAATGCTTTTGTTGTGAACATTTGGTTTCCACACAGAAGCACTTGGCAAAATTTTGTTTTTGTTTTTAAACTCTGCATCAGGTGACAAATACAACCATGGCCATCTTTCTAGCACAAACAAAGGATGGTGTACAAACGTGCAAATATAAACAGCTTGGGGGCAATGAGTGAAAAGAGAATATCTTGAAAAGAAATACAGGGGCTGGAGATTTAGCTCAGTGGCACAGCGCCTGACTGGCAAGCACAAGGTTATGAGTTTGATTCCTGGTACCGGGAAAAAACAAAACAAAAAAAAAAAGAAATACAACCTGAAATGCCACTAACTGATGGCTTTCTACAGATATTTCTTACCTCTCCCATGCCACCCCCATCTTATTCTGTCTAATGTTCAAGCCCATAGGACAAAGAATATGCAAAGTCTCAAAAAAAAAAAGAGGCGTTCAGGCTTAAAAACGTAGTGAGAAGTTACACAATGATTACCTGACATGAAATAAGAGTGAAAAACAGCTCTCTGGCTTCTCACACAATCATTACCAATCGATGCAGCAATTTTGAGAACATACCTCTGGCTGAAAGCTTCCTTGGAAAATGTAATAGAACATTCCTAATATTTACACATACCAGAGTAGCATGGTCCTCGTGCTACTACTGTTATCTCTTTCTGGTGCTTACAAGCAGCCCTTCTAAGAAAGCATTCATTTTGATAAGTGTCCCCATTCGATCCACAGACGGGAATATAATTTGTATGGCACTGCAAAGGAAACAAAAATAAACTCTGAGAACTAGGCATGAATATTAATACTTTACTTCACATTCATGAATGCAATACCATAGTATTATGACATTCTTCTACTACTGAATAGGTTATTCTTTTACTTGGTTTTTAAAAAGAAGACTTCTGCTACGTCTTCATACCTTTTTCACACTCACAATGAAAATCATTATGCACATTCCACAAAAATGAGACTGAAAATCCCATGATATTTCATTTTCATGCTATGAAAACTTATTTGAGATAATAACAGAAAATTCTTGACAATATTTGTAAAAGCACCACTTGGGTAATATTTTATTATTATCAAAATTCATTTGTTCAATATCTCTATAGGAAAATCACAAAAAAGTACTATAGTACAAAAAAAAAAAGCAATCATCATTCTCAGAGACCTTCAAATCTTGTGAGAGCCCTAATAATAGAAAAAATACATACTGCAAAGCTAGATCATGTTCCAAATCAATAGAATAACAATAAGTATATGTGTCTACAGTCTAGTATTGTTGTGTATTCAAAGAATACCTCAAAAAAAGTGGAATTGTGAGCCGTAAAGGTTGAACAGAAATTAGTCAGAGAAAAAGGAAAAAGGTGATTCAGATTTGAGAAATGACACTGGACCTGCATCCTTAAAAAATTAAAACCATTTATAGATCAAAGTATCATAAATGATTAAAGTACAAACATCTGGAGAAAATACAGTGTGATTCAAGTTATCATCCTTACTAAAAAAATACAAATTAATTTTTTAAATAGACCAAAATTATTTACTAGAAAAGTTCAAATGGTCAGTTAATATATTTAATATACTTAAGTATATATTATTATATTTAATATATTTAAGTATATATTAACTAGCAGTAGAGTTATATACTAAAAACAAGACAGTTAACTTATAGAATTAAGACAATTAACTTATAGAATTGGTGATGTCAAAAAAAATTTTCTTTCTTTTTTTTTTTTTTTTTTTGGCATTACGGGGGATCAAACTCAGGACCTTGTGCTTGCCAGGTAGGTGCTTATGCCACTGAGCTGTATCCCCAGCCTCTCAAAAAATTTTAAGTAGGTGAGTACCCCAATATACTAGTTGTGGTCATCTAAATTGGTTCAACTTTTGAGGAACACCATTTAACAAGATCGTAAGTCTTGAGAAATGATTACAATTTTTGATCCAGAATTCTACATTTACAAGGAAGGAAACTTGTAGACAAATGTTTATTACAGAGATTTCAAATAAAACTTTGTACTACAAATATTTTGTAGTACGATAAGGCAATGTTTAGTTAAGCATTTTACATTTGCTCAAGCAATTAATATTGTAGTAATCAAGAATTAACTTCTAAAAGAGTACTTATTATATAACAAGAAAAGCTAACATAAATAAATGTTAAGTGAAAAACACATATGTAACTTCTAGGCATGTTGTGCCATTTTTAAAAGCATTACCTACTCCATGAAAAGGAATGCAAATTTTTTAAAGAATATGATAATAAAAAGTAGCAAGACAATAAATTACATTTATATTCCATTTTAGAAAAAAATGAATAAAATAAATCCTAGAAAATATTGATGATTTTTTCACAGTGTCTATTTTCTTTATTTTTTTATTTTCTTTACTTTAAAGAGACAAAAAAAAACCCTATAGAATTTCAAACACAGGAAATTAACAATGGTTATTATATTGTATACTGTTATCTTCAAATTAACAATGGTTACATTGTATACTGTTATCTCTTTTTTTGAGGTTAAATTCAAAGTAATTGCTCAGATTACCAGGTACAAGCATGCAAAACTGATCAAACAATATAAGCACTAACAGTTCTTTTCAATAAACTAATGAAAATTAGTATACAATTATCTTAGCTATCTTGTGTATATATACACATTTTTTCCTTCCTTCTTTTCTCTTTTCCCCATTCGCAGTTGTTCTTTCCTTTTGAGCAGTCACACTATGTCTTTATGATTTTTCTATTTCTCAATTTTTCTGCAATGAACAAGGTTTACTATTTACCTACTTTTAAAAAGTGATCAGATTTACTTTATGAAATACAAATGTGTTATGCTACCACAGATAAGCACTGGTGAAAACAACATGTAATTAATACAATACTTCATTCCCAAGTTGAGTTTGCTAAACATTTAGTATCAGGAAACTCCTATATCAACTTTTATTAAAATTAAAAAATTTTTAGTAAGCCTTATAGTCCTCCAATTTCTCCAAGATCACATTCTTTAATTCTTTATTCCGAAAATTAGCACGTAACTATTATGATGTTTGCATGAGTCGAACAATATTTTGTAATTATACAATGCATGACTAGCAAGGGACACTGTACACTCCAAGATACCAAGTGCTAAGAGTAAGAACTTTTCAACACCATTCTTCCCTCAATATAGTTAATGATTTTCTAACAGAGCTCTTAAAAGTGCCAATACTGCCCCCTAGGGGAGGGTGCTCCTGAATGTTTGGTTGTCACAATGATAAAGGGATTTCACTGTTATTTAGCAGGTGAATTACCAGGATATCAGATATACCGCAAAGGAAGGGGTAGTTCCATACAACAAAGACTTACAAATACTACATAATCTCTGAATGTCTCCCTGGCCATTTATGTAGGAACTAGTATGTTTTATACCTTATCCTAATACTGGTTTTTATGCTAGCATCCACCAGACCTGTAACTTCTTTATTTTCATGTGCTTCTATAATGAAACTGCTTCTGATTTTTTTAAATCCAAACATTCATTACAAGTATACTTTGCAGTCTTTGATCCACATATGTAAGTATCTGAATACTGGTGTAATCATGCCCAAGCATTTACATTCCGAAATGTTTATATTATTATAAATTACATTTATTTTTCTTTTATATTAGTTATGCATTATATTCATTTCTTTATATGTTATGTAGGTTACATTATCCATGAATTTCATTTAAGGGTAATAAAGAAATAGGACATAAATTATTGGTTACTGGGGCTGGGGATTTAGCTCAGGGGCTGGGGATTTAGCTCAGTGGCAAAGTGCCTGCCTGGCAAGCGCAAGGTCGTGAGTTCAGTTCCTGGTACCAGAAAAAAAAAAAAAAAAAACATTATTGTTTACTAAAAAGGAGCATTAAATCTGGTAAGGCTGAGAATCTTAACATGTATTAAACAGTATCTACCTAGTAAGCACTGGGCCACAATTTTAAACATCTAATTTAAATATCATGGCTACCATGTGAAACACACGGCTTACTGCATACAGTAGGGCTCTGAAGTCAAAACTGCTTGAGTCCAAATCCTGAGCCCATCATCCACGGGCTAGCACCAGCACTGTTTTTCCATCTGTATAATGGTAATCATAATAGTCCTCATCTAATAAAATTGTTATAAGAATTAAATAAGAGAAATCTACCTTTAGCATTTATATCTGGCTGTGGTAAATCCTCGGTATTAGCTATTTCTGGTATTGCTATCACCATTTCTGGATCTTAAGTATTTCCCAAGGTCACAGTAGAATAAGCAAAAGAAGAAAAGCCTCAATTCTTCACAAGTGATGGATTTAACCACCACACACGAACACCGGGGTCTTTATCTTCTATCATCTGGTGCCAATGAGCAGGGGATTTATTTTTATTTTTTTTATTTCAAAAATAAAAGGAGGAAAACATTAACAGACAGACAACCTTTTACAAATTAGCAAAAGAACAGTATAGACAATACAGAGTTACAAACAAAGTGGTAGGAAATTAACAATGCTTGTTGTATTACATATTGATATCTTCAGAGTGGTTTCTCATTCAGCAGGGGATTTAATGGCCCTGAAATTCAACCTCACAAGCACATTCCTAGGAATGAACTTGAAATGAAGAAGTAGTCCCGCTATTCCTTGGTCCCTTTCAGTCTCCAGGGGACTGTTCTGGAAGCCTCCCAGTATGTTTAGGGGCAAATGAAGGGATCTGAGCTATTTAAACAGCATGCAACTTTTGCCTTATGCACTGATGTTGGAATCTATCTCTGACCTAAGGTCCACCTTCTCTATACTGCCACTCTTGCTGGGGAAAGGAACTCTGACCTTCAACTTCTCTTTAGAAGAGTGCAATGATACTGCCACCCATTTAGAGTAGCTAGAAAAATACAGTGATGCACAACTCTGGAGCCACATTCGTTCAAGAATGTACTGTGGTACTGTGTACCTACAGTATATCAGGAACTGGGTCAAATACAATAAATAAGAGTATAACTAGGGTGTGATGGCTGATTTCATGTATCAAATTAAGTGAGCTCCAGAGTACCCAGATTTTTTTTTTTTTTTTTTTTGATACACCCGTGAAAGTATTTTCAGGTGAAATTAGCATCTGGAATTGGGGAACCAAGTAAAACAGACTGCCCCATCAAGTGTGGAGTGAGTATTATACACTCCACTGAGGACATTTAAAGAAGAAAAAGGCAGAGAACAGGAGAATTCTCTCTCGCCTTGAGTGTTCAAGGTGGAATATTAGCCCTCTGGTTTGCAGGCCTTCCGTCTCAGACAGGACTTAATCACTGGAGTTCCTCGCCTGCAGCATGCAGATGACAGACTGTGGAGCTTTTCAGCCTCTCTGAAAGAGCCAATTCCTTATAATAAATTTCCCTCTCACATTTGTGTGTGTGTGTGTGCCCTACTGGTTCTATTTCTCTGATAAACTCTTAATAATACGAAGGTTTAGTAAGAGGACACAGCATCTTGCAAGGACACTGCTAAATTCAGAGGGAAAATCACGTAATCTGGAGAACTCCAGATAGAAGAAAAAGAGAAAGAAAACAGAAGAAAAGTCATAGCAAATAAGTGGTAAGCAAAAGATGTAGCATTATCACTTTTCTTTGTATAAAATTAATAAACTAGTTTTGTTTACGTATTTATGACAATCGCTCTTATTAGGAGACTGGAAAAAAAAACAGTTTTAGACTTTTATATAAAATCCTCTTCTGTGTTAACATGTATTTCAGTCACATCC